CATAATGATAATATATCACCGAGAACGTAGAGTCTGGATCAAAACGAGATTCCTTAATCAAAATGTCCAAGGTCGGGACAAAATAACTGATCGATTAAATTGTTCATGAACTCCATCCCAAAAGGTTTCTTTATACAACTTTAAGTGGTAAAGCTAACAGTTACTTATATGATTTTACTTTTTGTGTTAAATGCTTCTATCATTAAGTGATCTAATATAACTATATGCTTAAGGATAATTTTTATCACATACTTAAAATTTACTTTATAACAAAAAGATGCTATTTAATCACATTTACCAGATTATTCATCAAATTTGTGTGTCTTATTAAATAAGAATAAGAAAGAATAAGAATAAAATAAGACTTATTCTATACCATAATAGAATCGTAAAAAATTTGGAAAGACTGCTTGAAGGTTTTGAGACAAAGGCAGTGGATTAAAACATCTCTTCTATGTACATAATCTTCAAAACGGTTATAAGATTATGAGATCTTGCATGGTCCATTTCTACACAGTTACACAGGAGAGCTGGTCTGATTCCTAGCCGTTTGACGTTTCTGCTTCTGGGAAACTGTTCATCTTACTTCCTACTGTGTGATCAATTTGTTTAATATATGCACAACATCTGTCTTTTTCTTTTATCCTTATTTTCTATTTGAGATTTAATGTCTTATTACACTTCACACTTCTTTCGTTTCCATGCTGCATTGAAAATCATTGTTTTGTTCACTGAACTGATTATCCGCCTAATTATTTGTATCTCTGTGACACATTACTAGATACACTAAAATTATTCTTGTTTGCTCTTCGTATACTGTTTCTGATCTTTTAATAATGCTTACGTGTTCCTATTTTTTTTTATGCAACTTAGAATAGCAAACAAGCTGACGCCCTACCCGATGGAAAGTGGTAACCGTCTTCTATAGACATAAGCAGTACCATGGTACTGCTCATGTCTATAGACACATAACATAATACTCTCCGATGATAACAAATTGTCTCAGTCGATACAAATAAACTTTATATCACTCTACTAATATTATGAATATTCCTAAATATTTGTAAATATCAGTTAATAGGGTAGGATATGGAAATGAAATTACAAGATAGTTTACGGTACGGAGATATAACGCGAAGAAGAAGGCAACGTATGAAGATATTATCTTTCCTTGAGACTAAACCTTTCTTGAGGTTATTTTAACTCAAAATATGTAAAGGTAACTAGTAGATTCTTACCACGACAACCGACGTTACATCGAGACCACGACTCTTAAAGAAAGTGATTACAAGGCATTCCAATCCTATCAATATATAAAATTTGTTACTCGTTCACGTAAAAACTACTGAACGGATTTCATGAAATTTGGTACACTGATAGGTTATCTCCTAACTTAGTAAATGAAATAGGTACCTTATATTCTGATCCACGCGAGTAAAACTGCGAGATACAGCTAGTAAACATATTATAAAATTGTAATCAGACAATGTACATAAGAGATATTTATATAATATATATATATATATATATATATATATATATATATATATATATATATATATATATATATATATATATATATATATATATATATATATATATATATCAGTTAATAAGAACATTAGAAGTCAAAACAATCATTTGGAAAATAATTTACGTCTGTCTGTGTCTGTATGTTTATTCAGCCATTACTGACCGAAATGGATACAATTTTCACAGTTGTGTTCCTAAAAAAGTCCAACTTAAAATCTGGTGTTAAATACACCTGTGTGTTACATATCTTAATTTCTGATACGCTATATAAAAACTGTTTCAATACAAAATATACATTCGTAAGAAGACGCGGGCAAAAGCCAGCGATAATATAATGATACTGAGTGAAAAGAGATTAGCAGTAAAGGGGTCTTACAAGCCCACTGATGACAATATATCCTGTCGCACAGTGCCCCTGGAAACCATTGTGGTTAATTTTTGTAAAATTCGTCATAATGGACTAACGACCCACTTTCATCCTCACCTAACATCATTCAATTGTACCGCGCCAGTGCATACCGGTAGCGCAGACTTGGTTACCATTCCATTTTCATTCTATCAGGCCATAACCTGTAATAATATAACCATTTTTTTATAATCATTTTCTCTCATACTGCATTAAATTGGCTGGAAGAGATTTTTTTCAAAGAGAAACTCAGTATTACGAACCAACAAAGTCCTCAGGAATGGCAACCCATGGGAGGTATCATGGGCGAAACAGTATACTCTGTTGTGTCCACAGTACTGCTCATGTCTATAGGCGACGGTTACCACTTTCCATCGAGTGGGCCGTCAGCTTGCCATTCTAAGTTGCATAGAAAAAAAAAAACAAATTGTTAAACTAATCACTGTATCTTTTTTTTTACAAAAACAATATATAATAGATTAAAGCTAAAAGTAAATAAATAAATAAATTTTCACCCATAAAAAAATATAATGATTCGACAATCTACTTGATTACGTTTATGCAGTTTGTATGCAAAAATGAAAAAAATATCACATTTTACCATAATACTTCTTGAAACTAAAATATTTTCTGCAAACATATTCCTGAAACATTCTATTACAATACTTATATGGATAGTCCGCTCATTTACAATTTCCACTTGTATGGTACAGTACCTATTATTAAGAAAACTAAAAGAAAAATTCTCAAACATTGTCATATAACAATACCTATTTATAATCAATGAAAAAAATTATAGAGTAAGCAACGCAAATACGTATTTCCCACCTTTGTTACTAGTACATCATAATGAGAGACATAACGTCCCTATAATCTATGTCTGTTTCATTTTTTCTTAACTTTGACAGGTTTTTCATAATCTATATAATTTTCATCATCAACGAGTATATTTTATTTCACAAATTAAAGAACAGCGTGGAACAGGATTATTAGTATCAGGGTCTAACTACCCCATTGCTAACAATATACCCTAACAGATCGATCTCCACGTGGTCCCCCCTGGAAACCATCGTGCTGAATTCCACATGTAATCATCACGATGGGCTAACTGACCTGCCTTTTCATTCTCACCTACATCCCTCACTGGTGCCCCTCCAGCGTATACCATTAGGGCAGGCGGGGTTACTATTCCATTATCATCCATTACTATAGCTACTTAATTCTTCATCTTATCTTCACTCTCAGTTTTGAGCCCTGCCCCCTCTCTCCTGTTCTAGACATGTTTATCTAGTTCAATTCAAGGTCCTTGATCTCCCTAACTGTAAGACCAATTTTTTAGGAAACCCCTTCTCATTTCGTGCTAAGCACTGTGATATAGATTTCCTTCAAACATACAAGACAGTCGTTTTATTGCTTTCTGCAAGAAACATTTGAAGTCTCAGTTTTTGACTTATATTATATCAGCCGTTTGTTCTCCACTGCTGAACATAGCGTCACCCATAAGGGGGTTTTACTAGTTGCCACTCTTGGTAGGCGAGTTGGCCACCACCGTTAAGTTTTTGGTGATATAATATTTTAAGGGGGACATCTCTGCCCCTCTCTCCACTATAAGCTCCCTTGGTCGTTTCTTATGACACCCACGGGAAAGGAAGAGATGGCCTATTCTGTGCCGGGACCTAAACTACTAATAATACATAATAATACTGAATACTGTGCATAAAATATATGCAATAAAAATTACATATAAATTTGAGCCTCTCGTACTGACTTTAAAGCTACTCGTATCGTGCCCTGATAGTATGATCAGTTGTACTCTAAGAACTTTTAACAGGATGTTAATGATTTGGATTTCACCCTGTTCATATTACCCTCCTTATTTAAACAATCAAGCAATAATTTCATTGCGATAGTAAATTAATAATTAGGCATTGTCTGACTTTCGATTACTCCTATACTACCTAAGTACATAATATATTAATCCTCAGGATTGTAAAATACATTTATTTAGCACCACATATATACCACGCGATTCCCCCTGGAAACTATCGTGGTAATTCTTCTGGAATTCATCAAAATGAGTCAAACTAACCTGTTTTCATCCTCACCTATCATCTGTCACTGGTGCCCCGCTTGCGTATATCGATAAGGCAGTTATGTTCGTATATTAGCTAGACCGGCTAGCCTCCTTCTTTCCTATCATCATCATATCAGCAATTAATTTTCCACTGCTGAATATAGGCCTCCCCCTATTGGAAAGTTTTGCCAGTAGTTGTCATGCTTGGCAGACGGATTGGCAAATGCAATTATGCAGGCTTTAATGATATTTAAAGAGGGACGCTGCTGCCAATCCTTCAAACATTAAGCTTATTCCCTACAATAAATCTTTAACCTGTGAATATGAACAAAGTACAAAAAATAAAACTACCTACATAATACTGCTAATGCAAAACAATTTAGGAAAAATAGTGCTGCAGAGGCAGCATCATCAAATTATAATCTCATTTTCGACTATAGCTATTGTTTGCTTTGATAGGAAGCATTTCATGTCACTGAAATGAAAAAGTATTTGTATGAAACCACAAATATGAATTAAGAATAGTAATTTTGTCATAAAATCTTTGCAATCGCTCACTAAAATTAACACTTTTACGATATTAATCGACCAAGCTATTAATAATATTAACGATATTATTAATAGCTTGGTCTTTCATGATTCCTCTAAAAAAATATACTTTATACTGAGATATATTACATAACACGATAAATATTTATTTATTTCATTAATTTCAAACTAGAAAATTAATTTATACGATAACTTAGAAGCACGAAGCTTCTAAGTTGTTGTATAAATAAATTTTCTAGTTTCGTTTGTCAATATAAGGACGTTTCTGATTCTGAAATAAAGTAATTCTACGTTAGCTGTTATTATCCTTAACCGCAGGTATTATCCTTAATCTATGTAATGAGTAACTACTTCTACAGACACTATCTATATCTATGACCTGCTTGAACAGGAATGTCATAGAATGTCAGCCATCAGTGTCACTGTCAAAATTATCAAATTGATTTTAAACGTCAAATATCGACAAAAACGGCGTCGGTAGATTTTCGTCAATCTAAGAAAAATAACTAATTTACTTTTCAAATGGTGTAGACTGTGTATTATTAACGAATAAATAAATGTAATGGACATTTAAGGAATCTTTATAGTTAAATAAGTGCAATATGGCTCAACGATTCCCAGCGGGCGGGCCTAACGCGGCGCCTCCGCCTGGTGCTATGCAGCAACAACAGCGGTATCCCGGCCCGGCACAGCCACAAGGATCCCCAATGCAGCAAAGACCATATCCAGGACCTAATTTTCCGGTAAATATAAACTGTCAATGTCTCTATCATACCTGTTACAGATGTTACATCTTACTAAAGTAGCCATATTTACATATCTCTAAACCATTACAAAAATTATATACTTTAACTAAACAAATTCTAATCTATGAATATTCTTAATATTTTTTATAGCTACTATTTTATATTGGTACTTTCTATTCAATAAATAAAACTTTTGACTTTTCAAACTTTAGTTTAAAAGTAAGTACTTAAGTTTAAAATAGTTTTTTTCTTTAAATGACCCCAGTCAGTGTGTACCCTCAGGGGTGGTCCTGTTCCTATTATACATCAATTATTTTATGTTTATGCTCATGTTTAATAGCATTGAATGTACAAAAAGCAAGCCCAAAATAGTATATAGAAAAGTAGGTTAACATTGGTACCCACACAAACAGTGGTAACCACACAAAACCTATGACAACCACTTTCTCCATGGGAGAGAGAAGTAACTCCCTTTTCAATCTTTATTATTCTCCCACCATATTTAGTAAATTAACAGATCTTTATGGGAAAGGGCATTAAATGTTATAATAAAATACTAAAGAATATTTTGGATCTACCTTTTAATAAATTTATTTATTTATAGGATCACCAACATAAAATACAGCTAAACATTTCAGTGCAATACACTGGTGGATTAGATCTAACTGTTCTTACATTTATAGGCAACCACAGCATGCCTTGTGTTTGATTTATCTATCTATTTAAGAGCTGCGCTCTAGTCGGTGGAGCTCTTGCCACTCACGTTTGTGTTTGATAAACATTAAAATAGAATTAAATTATTAAATGTCATTAAATGAATAAAAATATTAACAATATGAATAATAATATAACATAAACAATGGAAATTGTAATTTTGAAAGAAAGAAAGAAAATTTAAATATTTTAAATTATAAATAAATATAATGCAATAGCGAGGTACATCAACATTTTAATTTAGCCATGAACACAGAGTGACTATCATTGTGAATATCAGGTTCAGGCTTGGTTTTTACAGAATCGTTATATAGACGTGTTATGCTGATGATAGGTGATTCATAACCAAAGTTTGTTCTACAAGCTGCATTTTAAAATAAACTATTATTAAAAAAACACTGAACAAAGTCTACATGATTATATACACTCTAAATGATTACTTGAATGACAAGCATGTATGGTGTTATTTGATTATGTACAGGCTTCTCAATGACCATGTAATTTTAGTCATAGTACATTTAAATAAATATACATAATTTTAAAAGCGTAATTGAGTTTCTTGTGGGTTCTTTTCAACAAATAATAATCGACTGAACCCTGTAATAGATTTAAAAAAAAGATGATTGAATAGTGCTCGTAAACAAGTTTAATAGAGATGATTTGAATTTGAAAATCCTTTAATTTCTACTCTACCTATCAATATTATTACACATGTCACATAGTCCCTGCTCTGCGTATGAGCACAAATCTGTTGTGTTATGTACTAATTTTCATATAAACTTTGAGTTCAATTCACTTTAATTGTTCATAGTTCTCTCGAGACAGTGTGCCTTGGAACAATTGCATCATGTGAGACAGGAGTGGCTACTAACACGTATGGTACTGCACAGGCTCGCAGCGGGTTCACGCCGCCGCCGCGCGCGGGTGGCGCGGCGGGCGCGGGCGGCGCGGCGGGCGGCGGCGCGGCGCGGCGGGCGGCGGCGCGGCGGCCGGGTACTCGGCGGGCGCGGCCGCCGCGCCGCCCGCGCGCGCGCCCGCGCCGCCGCCCGCCGCCAAGCGGCAGGACGCGCGCAGCCCCATGCCGCCGCAGCACAAGCCCGCGCTCTACACGCCGTAACTACTCCTCCCTCTCTCTATTTGATCCCTTCAACGTCACTCCTATTCCCTGCCTGCCGTCCACCGCTTCCACCTCCACCGACCATGTTTTTTAATGGGTGACGATGGAATGGTATCCCGCTCGCTAACGGTGTACACTGGCAGGGTACCGATGAGGAATGATAGGTGAAGATGAAACTGGTCAGTTGGCCCACCGTGACAAATCTAACAATAAATTGATCACGATGATTTCCAGGGAAAACCACCAAAAGATCAACCCAACAGGGTATATTGCTAGCAATGGGGCTACTAATCTCCATTACTAACGATCCCTTCCTCCCCCAAAATTACCAACCATGTTGTCCCTGATGAACGTTACTTTTTTTTTACATAACATTTGATTCCAACAATAATAATAAATTTATTATCGTTTAAATAGGGTAGGTATCGGTGGTCTTATATTGCATAAAATTTCGAACCTATTAGCCATTACAGAATAACATGTAAATGTCACATTTTGGTAAAAACTGATTAATTTATGCAACGACAACAACTATATTAGATACTTATCATTTTTTTTTAAATAACTTAAATTTTTTTGCACATTAGAATGGCAAACAAGCTGACGGTCCACCTGATGGAAAATGGTAACCGTCGCCTATAAACATGAGCAGTACCATGGACATAACAGAGTATACTGTTTCGCCCATGATACCCCTTATGCGTTGCCATTCCTGAGGACTCAGGTGTTATTCCTCCATACCCTGTAAATTCACGCCATATCCCATTCGTCAAACCAAAACACAGTCATGCAAACACAACTGCTTTACGGTTGAAATACGAATGGGATAGAGGTACCCAAGCAAACGACTTTTGTACAAAATCTCCCTCTGCGGGCAGGGAGGCGTATGGCGGCGTAGGCGGCGCGAGCGGCGGCGGCGGCGCGGGCGGCAAGCGCAAGAAGCGGCTCGCGGACAAGATCCTGCCGCAGAAGGTGCGCGACCTGGTGCCCGAGTCGCAGGCCTACATGGACCTGCTGGCCTTCGAGCGCAAGCTCGACGCCACCATCATGCGCAAGCGACTCGACATCCAGGAGGCACTCAAGCGGCCCATGAAGCAGAAGCGCAAGCTGCGCATATTCATATCCAACACTTTCTATCCTGGTACGCCCCTGCTTTGTTTATATTATAGCTTTTTGCCACCAGACAGTGTTGTATAAAGAAAGTATATATTGCTATAGGACGACTTCCAATTTCAAAAACTATCTAAGTAATATTAAAAAAAACTAATCAAAGTTGATCAAAACACAATTTTATTTTTGCTACAAATTTTAAAGATTTATAAATTACTGTGATATAGGACAAGGAGAGAATGCAGTAGCGTCGTGGGAGCTGCGTGTTGAAGGCCGTCTACTAGATGACTCCAAAAACGATCCTAACAAGGTGCTTTATTTTTTATTAAAAATAATCTAGTCAACCTTCATTTGCGCTTTATTGTATATTTTAATTTACACACCAAATATCTTAATTTAATAAGATTCTGTAAAAAACAAATCAACTTCTGTTACTACTACAACACTATATTTTCTACACACTGGAGTAAACCCTCTTGATTAAAAACAGAATCATCAAAATACTTGCAACTGAAAATAAAGCTACAACCGACATCTTATGTTTTCCATTTTAAACTTGATTTTTAAAAATGATCCTAATGTAATGTATACTTGTGTAATATTCCAGGTGAAGCGTAAATTCTCATCATTCTTTAAGTCTCTGGTAATAGAGTTGGATAAAGAGCTGTACGGACCTGACAACCACCTCGTGGAATGGCACCGCACACTCACCACGCAAGAGACTGATGGGTTCCAGGTATGGTTTATAATAATAATAATTAAACTATGTTTTGGTCCATTTTGATAATAACAATTTCTTTACAAACTATGTTAGTAAAAAAAAGAAAAGCAATTAAAGTAAACATTTAACTTAAGCAATTTACTCAGATGCAACCCAACCGACTAGATCAATATCTGAATGAAATGCCCAATTATAGGCGAGATATATTTCTCTTCTATTACTTTCAGAATCCTATTGATGCTTTATGTATGTGTAGAATTAAATAAGTAATGTACTGAACAAGTACATATGTAGTGCTTCACAACATTTTTAATGAGACCAACACATTTATGTTGGTCTCATTAAAAAACTGTGTGTGAACCCTTCCTATTAAAAAAATTGTCTATATGCTGTAGTATACATTCATGTATGTAATATATATTTTGTATTTGTATATAATATTTTAAAATTGTATTGTGACAAATTCATTCAATTTAATATGCCTAAATATTGAATTTTATAATAAATATCTTCGATTTTTTGCACACAGTAGTAATAAGAATTGAGAAAATATGAAGAGTATAAAAATAGAACAAAATTTGTTTACAGAGTTACATAGTTGGCACAAAAATGTTTTTGACTAATTATTTGTTTCCCAGGTTATGTGCCATTACAGTTCCAAAATAAGAATTTTGCTCTTCAAAAATGTCTTTATATGTTTTATCAATAGTTATAAAAATGCAATGACATATAATCTTGTAAGTTTGATATCTTCATAGTCAAATGTCATTTCTACAATGCTTATCAAAATAACATAAAGTTTTTCATGACATTTGTACTGCAAATGGCAAAATTGAAATTGAATAGTAGTCGTAGCTAGTAGTTGGCATAGTAAGGTGGTACTGGTGCAGGTGAAGCGGCCCGGGTACAAGAACGTGCGGTGCACGATCCTGCTGCTGCTGGACTACCAGCCGCTGCAGTTCAAGCTGGACCAGCGGCTGGCGCGGCTGCTGGGCGTGCACACGCAGACGCGGCCCGTGATCGTGAACGCGCTGTGGCAGTACGTGAAGACGCACCGCCTGCAGGACCCGCACGAGCGCGAGCACGTGCTGTGCGACAAGTACCTCGAGCAGATCTTCGGAGCGCCGCGCCTCAAGCTGGCCGAGGTGCCGGGCCGCCTGGCCGGCCTGCTGCACGCGCCCGACCCCATCGTCATCAACCACGTCATCGCCGTCGAGCCGCCGCACGACACCAAGCAGACGGCCTGCTACGACATCGACGTAGAGGTAACCCCACGTACGGCACATGCCGCCTCCTACACAAGCATCCTCGTGACAATACTGACGTCTCATGCACGTGTCACAGGTGGACGACACGCTGAAGACGCAGATGAACAACTTCCTACTGAGCACCGCCAACCAGCAGGAGATCCAGGGGCTCGACTCCAAGATACACGAGACGGTAAGTTCACTGAATCTTACTGTGCCAAATTTCATGACCATTTATTAAGCCATCGTCTCGAAAAAATTACTAATATTATTAATGTCAGTAAGTATACTTAATATGTTACAAGAATATACCCTCACTCTAACTCGTAATAACACGCACACATGCACACACGCGCTCACATGCACACGCGTACACTCACAGTGGCAACACACACTCGCACACACACACACACACTCACAAAATATTATTCTGTTTTTTAAATTGTTGTACTTTATTCCTTACCACGATATTATTGATGTATATGCTATGGTTCCAAAGCATTCATTTTTCTAAAATTACTGCATTTCTACATGTTGTCCGCGCTGTTTGCAGGTGGACACAATAAACCAATTGAAGACGAACCGCGAATTCTTCCTGAGCTTCAGCAAGGACCCGCAGCAGTTCATACAGAAATGGCTCGTCAGCCAGTCGCGGGACCTCAAGGTATGTGCATGAATAGATACGAACACAAGTTTCCTCCGTCTATCTTTTAGACTCTCATGAAGAGGAGCTTCTCAATTCGTCGTTGTAACGTTGGCGACGTTATGTTCCGTACAGAGTTTGATAATATTTTTTCAATCGTTTTACTCCTGAGTTTGTTGAACATGTAATATAAAGTTAGGCTACGAGTCATTATTATCCATTTGAGTACAATGACGAGCTCCCCATGGAAGCCACTGACAAGAACAACGAATGTCGAATTCACATTTATAATTAATGAAGACAATAATTGTTATAGTGAACAGGCCCTGAATCAAATTTAACAATATAGCAATCTGGATTTGTATGAAGATACTAATAATAATAACCTGATATCGTGGTGATGGATCGGGCACTTTCAAGAGTGTTTTTGGTGGATGTCACCATACCGCACGACGAGAACCTCGTGAAAGCCGAAACTGAGAAAAAGAGAAAATATCTCGACCTGACTCACGAGGTGACCTAAATGTGGTGGGTGGCTTCCACCGAAATCATTCCAATTCTTATATACAGGGTGGCCAATAAGTCCTTAGTAATGAAAAAAATTAATTAAAATAAAACTAATTACACTATGAATAATATTTTTATTTGTAAATATAGCTAGAAAAACGGGAATTATTTTTTGTAAATAATGTCGTCCAAATGTAATCCGTTACAGTCACGGCACTCTTGCAAACGCCTTCTGAAATTGTCGATGACTGCGCGGCACGTCACTGCTGAAATGCTTGCCATTTCTCTGCGGATGTTTTCTTTTAGGTCATTAATTGACCGCGAGTTAGAGTCGTACACTTTAGCCTTAAGGTAGCCCCACAAAAAAAAATCCATTGGAGTCAGATCCGGGCTACGTGGTGGCCAGGAAATGTCTCCTCTCTTAGAGATAACTTTGTTTGGAAAAAGTTGACGGATAACGGGCATAGCAGTATTGGAGGTGTGGGAAGTTGCTCCATCCTGTTGAAACCATGTTCGGACATTAAAGCATAAGTAAATCTTTCTTCAAAATCCGTTGTAACGATGTCCTGGATACGTTTAATGCACTGGAACGCTTACGAGTTGACTGTGTAGGATTTTCACGAATAGATTGTGCCACTGTGTCGATGTTTTGTTCCGTACGTGATGCCCTTGGGCGACCCAACCGCGGTTTATCTAACGTCGAACCGGTCCTCCTACTACTACTACCTCGAACTTAGCAACCCAATTCTTAATCGTTTGGAGAGCTGGGTGTCATCAAAGTTGTGTAAACCTTTGTGTTCTCGAAATTTACGCCTCGCAACGGTTGCCGAATTGTTGTTTTGATAAAACTCGCGCACACATAACGCACGGTCCGCTCCGGTGAAACGCTCCATCGCGTCTAAATTCCCAGAAACCGAAGTTACTGCCCCCGCTTCCCCTGCACCGCTCACGCGCGCCGTTTTCGTTGAATTCAAATTTTACTTTTATAAGGAGTATTACTTATCCCAACCATTCTGAAACAACATCTCAGACGGTTGGGATTCCGAGGCGGCTCACTCCCGGGATAGATGCAGAAAGCGGTGCTCTTAGATACTGCCTGCATTGTACGTCGGTTTCTCTCCCTGGGGCCCTGAACCCCGGCCAACTGTGCTTCTGCCGGGGGTTAGTTGCCATCTCCTCTCCTTAAGAGGGGAGATGAGAATTTTTGTAAAATAAAAAAAAGTCTTTTATAAAAAACAAACGTGCACGAGGGCGAGCTTGTCTTTGAAGGAGATTTTCTCCAGCAAACCCTGATATGGATATGTACATCGATCCCCGGCGAGATATAGTCGATGCGTTTCTTTATGGACAAAGAGGAAAAGCGTGCATCTCCTGTACTGACGGGCATAGCGATTGGCTCGGAGTTTTTTTAATGGGCGAAAATGGAATGGCAACCCCGCCCGCGCTAACGGGATACGCTGGCGGAGCACCAGTGAAGGGTGATAGATGAGAATGAAAACAGGCCAGTTAGCCCATCATGATGAATTCATCAGGAACGAGCCATGATAGTTTCCAGGGGGAATCGCGAGGAGGTGGACCTGGGGGGTATATTGCTAGCGATGGGATTTTTAGTCCGGGAACGAGGTGGTGTGACGTGGCGTCCGTGTCCGCAGACGATGACTGGCGGCGCGGGTGGCGCGGGTGGTGGTAGTCCCGAGGAGGAGCGGCTGGCGTCGTTCTACGCGCAGGGCTGGGCGGCGGAGGGCGCGGCGCGCTACCTGCACGCGCGCCTGGCCGCGCGCCGCCGCGACCTCGACCACGCGCTCGCCGCCGCCTCCACCGCCGCCGCGCACGCCGCGCACGCCGCGCATCTCACCCGCCTCTAGCTGCACTTCTAATAAACTCACGTTTCGTACATTGCTGCTGTCGTTTTATTGCCACGCCCACCCAGCTAACCTCAAGTAAAATATGTATTTATTACCAAAGTATGTTTTTCTTTCTCTCCTCGCCCGCTTCATTACTGAAGGTCATATCTTTGAAAAGCGTCTGTTCCCTCTCTTATGATGTTACTCCATTTCGCACGATTCCCAGCCTCTTGCAGGGCAGTTGCAATTAACAGTCCCGTAACGACGATTACTTGGTCCAACCATCGCCTAGGTGATCTATCTCTATCTTGCCTACAACCGTTAGCTTACTAGATTGTCGCACTATCGACGAGCAATACGACCGAAGTATCCAAGAATCTTCCGATAGCAGACTGTCGAGAACCTATCTTACATGCGGAGTTGCGCTAGGACAGATAAGTTCATTCTCTTTGCTGTCCAGGGAATTCTCAGCATCCTTCGCCAGCACCGCATCTCGAGAGCATGAATCTTTTTTCCGCTCATTTGCTCTTATTGTCCATGACTCGACTCCATACAAAAATGTCAAGAAAATCAGAGTATAGACTAGTCTTGTCTTGGTGACATTTGAGATCTTTCTGTTCTGCCAAATTCATGTTAATTTGTTCATTGCGGTCTTTGCTATTTGAGTCCTTCTTCTGATTTCTTGCTCACTTCCTCCTTCGTTGGTCAGGAAAGATACTAGATTGACGAACTCATTTACAAACGCCAGATCAAAAAGTTCACCAATCCTAGATAATTGGCTGGTTCTATCGACGAGCATGATTTTTGTCTTTGACTTGTTGATCTCAAGTTCAACCATTCTACTCTCATATTCCACTCTGTTGTATAATGCGGTGAGTTCCGTCTGTGACGACGCGACTCGAAAATGTGGTGTCATCAGCATATCGGAGGTTACTGATCTTTACAGCCCTGACAGAGACGCCTCCCTCCCAATCTTCTAAGGCTCTTCTCATTATGTATTCACTATATATTAAAAATTAACAGTAAGTTATTTAAAATATAGCAAAATATACTCGAAGAATGTTATGTAAAAAAAAACTTAACGTTTACTGAACATAAAAATAGTACTAATGATACCTTAAGCTGCACGTCGAAATTTTATATCTCCATCATATATAACATCCACAAATTAATAAGAAATCAGTTAAGACATCTTTAAAAAAAACAATCTGTTAGGAACAGTTTTATTCGGCGAGATAGTTAATCCGTTTATGGTAAGTATTACGAGGCGCCTGATAAAGTTCAAATTCGCACTTACACCATAGAGATAAACGCTGATTATTACGACTTAGCAAATATTCTGATGTCGGATTAATCCCTACTAATATTATAAATATAAAAGTGCGTTTATTTGTTTTATTGCCTTATATCGCCTTAATGGCTTTACCAGTCACTATGAAATTTGGTATACACGTACTATGTTATTTTTTTTTTATATATACAACTTAGAATGGCAAACAAGCTGACAGTCCACCTGATCGAAAGTGGTAACCGTCGCCTATAGACATGAGCAGTACCATGGACATAACAGAGTATACTGTTTCGCCCATTATACCCCCCATGTGTTGCCATTCCTGAGGACTTGTGTTATTCCTCTGTACCCAGTAATGTGGGATAGTTAAAAAACTATAATTTATACAGCTTAGTGCACGACCTACGTAAGTAGTCATTTTAACCTAATGCATAGAGTGAGAACGACACGTTATTTGTTAATTTTGATCCAGTATTCGCAGACATAATAAATAAGTAGGTACATACATCGATACATACTAAACAAGAATAACAAATACCACGCGGACATCAGCTAGTTTGGAATATGTGTATAGTTTGTTATTCGTATACATAATATCTATTTTGATGACATCACACGCCATACGACGTAATTTCCTATTAGATAAATTGAACTATGATAACGTTCTGGGATAAGGTCATAAAAATTGTCACTCCATATAAAGAAAACTGTGCAAATAGCCGTATGAAAACCACGGATATAGGCAGTGCGACAGCGAACACACGCTGCGCCTAGCAGCCTCTCTTCGCTCGCGGCCACGACCCACCGCGAATGCAACTTGCTTGCTGTGGACACAGGTTCGGATGTTGATATAGGCTTGTGACATATTTACTATTCTTAATTTCCAAAAAAAAAACATGCGTTCTACAAAAGACAGATTCAGATTGTGAAAATTAGTAATTAGTAGATCCTAAGACAATAGTTTATAAAAGCATTAGTCATAAAGGCGCTTGTCGCCATTCGCTAATACTGAATACACAATAATAAAACACCTGTACGTCGGCCGCTCGCCTCCGATCAAACACCGGGCCGTAATTCACACGATAATGTCCGCCTTTTAAAATGAGACGACTTATCACTCGACGCCAGATTGATAGAGCCTCTTACGTTGACATGGTGTCTAATTATAGTAGTTGTTAGAGAAACACTGCGTATTGTAGCGTGCATTTGTAATTCTCTCCGTTCTACTGTCACTGTCTGAGCTACCTTTATGTCGCGGACACGTGACCCCAATGATAGCAAACAAAACTCGCCAGTAGTCAGACAAATCTTATAGTACGAGTGGATGAAGTGAAGAAATATGGCCTCAGAAGAAGACCCTGACGCCGTTTCGCACTCCAGCAGTAGTAAGTTACTGTTTCCGTGTTTAATTTGGGTTTCTTGATCACATTATTATTAAAGTTAAGAACTATTATTAGTTAAGAACTTATACAAGTAATACGTAATTTAGTCCCATGTTTAAGTAACTACTATACCATAGTGTTGAATAGAAAATAGTACACACAGTTTTCATAGAGTTCAAGTCGAGATATACAAAAAAAAAATTAATTAAAAAAAATATATAGTTTACACACTGATATCTAAAGCAAGTCTTGGATGATTTTAAAGTGTTCTAAAGGAGTCTTACCAGTAAAACTTGATCCAGTTTACTGACCATTTACGTGTTTAATGTTTCCAATTTCTCTTGTATAAGAATCCTGTAAACAGTAAACAATTTCCACACAAACAAGCTCACCACTCGCCCGATAGAAAGTGCTGAACATGAGCAGCACCATGGGCATCGTATAAATTGCACAGTGACGCCATGGTGCCCCTTACGCGTTTCTAAGAGCTAAATTGTTATGCTTCTTGATCCTGTAATTTCCCTGCCGTAACTGGGCTATGGTAGTGCAATTCTTTCATACAAAAATATATCATGGCTCATATCTACAGCCATGCAAGCACTGCTGCTACACGGCAAAAATATAAACAAATATCTCGGACACATCGTGACTGAGTGAAAATTAAAATTAATTAAGGCTTACTGCCAAATATTTTATACATGCATCCTGTGTATCAGTTATACGTAGGTCGCCTACAATGCTCTACAATGCTATATAATGATTTTAGGCTGTTTTTTTTAATGGATGATAATGGAACCCCGCCTGCGCTAAGGATATACGCTGGTGGGGTACCAGTAAAAGATGATAAGTGAAAATGAAAAGGCAGATCAGATAGTCCACTGTGATGTTTTATATATATATATATATATATATATATATATATATATATATATATATATATATATATATATATATATATACTTACTTGTTACCGCGTATTTATAACACAATTATACATGTACTATATACATATGTTCTACAACAGATGATAAAATAATATTCATATCTATGAATCTTTTATCATAATTACATACTGCAGACCTTCGCCCATTCGAGCTCATACAGTTGGGTAATCCAAACATGTTAATCTGAGAAAAATAAAACCATATCATAATAAGCGGTAATCTTTATCTAAGATGAACGTCTCTACATAATACCTATTCTAAATTTTTTATGTTGTTATATAAACACGCAATAGGAAAGTTTTTTCAATGGATTAATCCATAATATGATAGGTATACACGTATGTACATATTTATAATTCTTTGATAAATTTTATGTGAAATATTTTTATTTTTGATGGGTGAAAATGGTATGGTAACCCCGCCTGCGCTAACGGGATACGCTGGCAGAGCACCAGTGAAGGGTGATAGGTGAGAATGAAAACATTGTTTTCCCATCATGATGATTATCAGGAATTAACCATGATTATTTATATTTATAATAAGGGGAACCGCGAGGAGGTATTGTATATCTTTTAGCAATGGGATACTCAATTAAACAATCTATCTATGTGAAATATTATAATTTATTTTAAATAGGTCGGTATTAGTTTCCTAGATTTTCGCAGTATAGAGGACATTAGAAATAAAACATTTGAACGGGTTTAACTCGCGCGTAATTCATGTAAATCATAAACAATGTCCGCATTACACGCAAACCATTTTCTTATATTTACAATTAGTATAGGTAAGTAAGTAATATGTAGGTATATCCATTCATACACAAACATGCTGATCTCATAACATAGTAAGTACAGACACATTGATATTTGAAAATTTATAATTTGTTTTAGAAATTGCATTCAGAACAGTTCTACATCTGATTCAACTTTGCTGCAATATGTATGCTTATAAATAATAATAATAAATAAATTTTATTCAAATAAATTTAATAATAGGCATTTTTTTATGAAACTACCGCCCAGTTCGTAATGCAATTTCAACTGTAAAGAACGGGCAAGGAACACAGCTGTTGCTTTTTTTAAATATAAATTTACAACAAAAAAATTATTGATGGACAGAATGACTACGAGTATCACAAATCTATCAAACGTATTATAATATCTTACAGTACGATTCTGCGGATGTTGCGAATGCATGCGCGGCGAAGGTGCCCCCAGCGGCATAAGGTGGCAGGCGCTGGCGGCCGAGCTGGTCGGCACGTGCCTGCTTCTGTTCCTCACCTGCCTGTCCACCTGCGGCCTGCCGTCACCGTCGCCGCTGTACCGAGCCATCGCGTCGGGCTTTATAGTCGCCTTCATAGTGCAAGTACGCATTTTTAATTATGCTTATCGTCATCATATCAGCTCTTAACTGTCCACTGCTGAACATAAGTCCTCTCCTTGGGTTGACAGTAGTTGTCACGCCTGGCAGACCAATTGGCAAGCGCAGTTAGGCTTTAGAAATGTTTTAAAAGAAATGCTGCTGCCCATCCCTCGCCTTCTTCTTATTTAGTCGCTTTTTAAGACACCCACAGTAAAAGAAGTCGTGGTAATATGCCACTATGCTGGGACCACATGGCCCAAACGCTTATAGTACGTATTAATAGTAATTAAATTATGAATTACTTTCACAGCTCTTCCAGTTCCAGGGATATGGTAGTGAAATTATAAAACACAGAAACATAATAACTTAGTCTACAGGAATGGTAATACACCGATAGCGTTACACTATTTTGTATAACGGCCATGACGTCGTCGTGCCTACAGGCGGTTATTATCATTTTTCGTCAAATGGGTCGTCAATATATTTGCCATATCCAGTTACATAAATACTCGTAAATCTAAGTTGCCTAATTCTATGTTTTAATTCAAATTCAAACCATCCTTATTCAAGTAGACTTATTTACTACAAGCACATTTAAATTGTAATTTTTTTAAATCTACTATAAGATTTGAAAAAATGTTATCTACTGAGAAAATGCCGCAAGAAACTCAACCGTATCTCTATTAAATCTCTGTTGATCTAAGAGTAGAATACTTGTTCTTCGTTTAGTTATAAAGTACAGCGAACGCAAACTCTGCATTACGATAATGATATGGGATGGTATCGGCAGTGCTTCGACCACATCTCGGGCGCGCAGCTGAACCCGACGGTGACGCTGGCGGGGCTGGTGGTGGGGCGGTGGCGGGCGGCGGCCGCGCTGGCCGAGATCGTGGCGCAGCTGCTGGGCGCCGTGGCCGGCGTCGCATTGCTGCGACTTACCGCGCCCGACCACGTGGACGCTCGCCACTCCGCCGTCTGTGTTACGCTGCCCGCCGACGGGCTCTCGCTCTACCAGGTAACACTAGCCAATTTTTTTTAAAGGATGATACTGGAATGGTAACCCCGCCTGCGCTATCGATATACACTAGCTAAATATCAGTGAGGGATGATAGGTATAATGAAAGCAAGTCAGTTAGCTTATCGTGACGAATTCCGCTAGATTAACTACGATGGTTTCCAGGAGGAACGGCGTGGAAGTAGACCTAATAGAGTGTATTGCTGGCAATGGGTCAGTTAGACCCCATTACTAACATTACTCCCTCACTACCCGACTATATACACTTATTTGTAGGCCCAGAATTTATGGGTTTCTTTATTTTTGACCTGTCGTCCCTCCAGGCCCCTTGTGACAGGCAGAGAGAACCCAAGACCCTTACGACGGAGTCATATGTCCTGCTGATTATTTTTTAATAAATTGCCTTTTTCCTATATGAAACAGGTCCATATTCATTAAAGCCAACAATGGGGAGCCTTTCCTCGTCTGTTAGTTAAATTAGGTAAAATTAATAATTATATTAACCATCGCAAAGCAAAAACATACTCTCGCAACCTTAGATTTGCGGAAAATGGGTGCATATCGACTGTCATAGGGACGGTCGATATGCACCCATTTTCCGTGTGTACTGAACAATCGACAAAAGCTTGTACTTTGCTTGACGGAGGCGGTGACGATCGAGGCGGTGCTGGGCGCGTGCCTGGCGCTGGCGAACTGCGCCTCGTGGGACGCGCGCAACCGCTACCTGAAGGACTCGTGGCCGCTGCGCATCGGCCTCACCGTCGCCGCGCTCTCGCTCACCGCCGTACGTACGCACACACGCACGCACGCACGCACGCACGCACGCTGTATACAGTATTACCGTAGAAAGATAATCTCTACATTAATTTATCATGAGTGTGGAAGATAGAGAAATAGCCACAGAAAAAAGGGTGGAATAACATTTATCTACAAAAACATTTCATGTTCACAAACAAAAAGATATTTTGTTATCTTGTGGATATAATATTTTTTGTTGATCTTGGATTTCGCCAATTATGATGGTTTTCAGGGCAAATCGCGTGAAGGTCGACATGTTACTATGTTTTGCTAGCAATGTATATTGAGATTTTTACTAGCACTACGGCATAGTGATAATATTATGTGAACTGTGCTAGTAAAATGTTGACAAAAAATTACAGGGCCAGTTGACGGGTGCCAGCATGAACCCGGCGCGCAGTTTCGCGCCCGCACTCTGGTCCAAGACTTGGACGCATCACTGGGTCAGTACTACGTGCTATATATATTATTATACGAACATGATTTTTACCAGAAATATACAATTCTGATCTTTAGCCGCTATTCCGTTCCGTTTAACGTATAACTGCGCGTGCGTGTGTGTGTGATCGGATCCGCATCGCGTGTGGCCGTGGCGCAGGTTCTCGGCGCCGTACGACATCCGGTGATGGTGGGTGTGGTGTTGCAGGTGTACTGGGCGGGCGCGCCGAGCGGGTCGGCGGCGGCGGCGGCGCTGTACCGCGGCGTGTGGCGCGCGCCGCTCGCGCCGCCCGCCGCGCCGCCCGCCGCGCCGCCCGCCGCGCCGCGCTACAAGCCCGCCTGACACCTGACGTTATAACATTCACAAGTTCAATACACGTGTTCAATTATCAAATCCTCGGTCTTCAATGCCGCCAAGATCTATATCTATATCTCGCATACTAAAACATAACTTAAATTTAACCATCCTCAGACTGTACTTTTAAAAAGGAAAACGATACAGTATGGATTTGAAATCCTGTAAATATATAAATAAATATGTTATATCACTAGCCGATTACTACGCTTTCCCTGTCCGGACCTGTAAACCATTTCAATATAACAGTATTTCGAAAAAGAATCAAATTTACACGCGTATTGAGCTTCGAGATTACCCTGGTAGTCTCGGACTCGATAGGAGTCTAAAATTGAGTATAGCCTATAAGTAAACTTTATACACCTAAATTATAATACACACAGTAGTTAATCGAGTTATTAATATTACAACTAGGTATTAACAAATCTGAAACCTTACGCCAATTTCTAAATAGATAGATAATATAAAAAATCAACGTATGCTGTTTCATCTCTGTGAATGTTGAGTACAACTACAATTGGACTGTAAACTTATAATACTATTGTTGTATTCTATTGTTAAAAGTTTTGTTTGTAATCTGTTAATGTACCACAGAAATAAATAAATAAGCTTTAATATAGATTAAGAGCCCATGACTACCAGAGCTTCGTTATTTTATAATAACTCAAAGTTTCTCGGTGCATGCCTGCATACACAAGTTGGAACGACAAGCTAACTACAACGATGGGTCGTCGTGGCTTTGGCAAATACCAGATAGCAAACGTAAAAATGTAATATATCAACTTTATTTCTGTAAAAAAATAAAATGACGTAATTATCTTATATTTTCTTCAACATAATATTAGAAATCACGTCATCCATTGCCAGACATTTAACACAGTGGTAACCACTTGCCAAACACCGTTTCTTTTTAATGGATGATAATGGAATAGTAACTCCACCCGCGCTATCGGTATACACCGGCGGGGCACCAGTGATGGATGATAGGTGACGGATGAAGCCAAACACCGTTAAGGTATGAAAACTGAATTTTGATTGAATGAATGATTATGAGTAATTCTCATGAAATCCCGAAATTACCTATTAATAAATTAATGAAAATTGTTTGAATTAATTGATCTTCATTTTCTCTTAAATTTATATTATTCATGTAATTAGACGAGAATAAATGAGTTTTGAACAACAAAAATAATTAAATGAAATGATGTTCATTGCTCGATCATTTATTTTTTAAATACATTTAGAATTCTACTAGGTTATATTAACTTAAAAATTCGGAAGGTACGAAAATCAAGTTGATCACGGGAATGATGATGAGGGAATGACAAAATAAACCATAACCTAAAAAATCTCGAACATAACCTCTTGTTACCATCTAACTGTTTTCTCTACACTTTCTACCTCCAAAAACATACTTTACTACTTCATCAAAATTCATATTTTAATTACCTTGTTTATTCTACCAATGATTGTTTAAAATATAATCTTTACAAAATTTCATGGATATTTATTTCCAACAAGTACTCTAGCAAGCGTGAGGTCAATTCACCATTCCGAACAAGTGACCGTACTACCAACTATCAAAAACTAATGATAATGTTATTGAAGTCATCATAAATATACCTACTTATCGACTGTTGATAATGATATGAGGGAATGATTATTTTTCATGGGACACATGTTGAGTCAACATTAGAGAACTTGTTGATGATTTATGATCTTAAATTCAGTTTTAAAAAGTTGTTGTATGAGACTAGCCATAATTACAAACAGATTTTTTGAGAAATTTTCTATAATAACTTCATACAATGTTTTAATCTTAGTTTGGGAATGAATGATATATATTTTTTATTTGCATTTCCATTATTACCAAAATTTTTAGCATCATAAAAAATAAAATACCATCCTAAGTCTGTTAAGTTTATTGTAAAAACTACTAGGACTGGAATTTCGAGATTTCATGAGAATTACCCTTATATTTTATTTGCATTATGCAATTTATTATAATTCTTATAAGGAATAAGCAAGACAATTAATAAATATAACGATACAATTGTATAAGTACAGTGAGGCGGTCTTAATGCCGAGAACAATCTTTTCAAGACGACCTTGAGAACGGACTAATTTTTATAATGAATTTTATACATGTTCCTTAGGTAAGTGTTAGATGTTTCCTCAGTAGCCAAGCGGTTTCAACAGATTTAACCCCTAATCTAACAAACCTAATAAACCAAATAAATTAGTAAATAATGTTTGAAATTTTGTAGACTTCGATATATCATTAAGGTGTAGGTAGGAGTAAGTGCGAGCGCGAAGCAGTACACGTCTGAGTGTTTTTTTTTTTATGAGTGAAAATGGAATGGTAATCCTGCCTGCGCGAACGGGATACGCTGGCAGAGCACCAGTGAAGGGTGATAGATGAGAATGAAAACAGGCCAGTTAGCCCATCATGATGAATTCATCAGGAATTAATCATAATAGTTTCGGGGGAACCGCGAGGAGGTCGAGCTGGTTGGGTATATTGCTAGCAATGAGATTCTCAGTCTCCATTACTAACAATCCCTTTCCCCCCACGTCCGAGTATTAGGTGCAGTGCAAGTAATAGTGAGTAAAGTCTTGCAATCATTCATCGTGCATCCTCTGTCAACTCTTCACATGCATTATACCGACTGACAGTTCACGTTTTACTACTTGTTTGTGCAGTTTATAAAACAAATATGGATTCAGTTACAGTAGCAGTGATAATAAACAACAATAAAGATAATGATTGACAAAATTACAAAACATGTTTTAAAATAAACTAATAAACTTATAAATGCATATTTTCTTTTATTTTTATACTAGCAGTTACCGCGACTTCATTCGTATGTACATATCATTAAGTTAAAAAGAGAACTGAAAAAACTCTGCAGTTTATTGAATGCATTTTTTTTTATACAACTTAGAAGTAGCATTGCTGCTGCTTAGCAATCAATGTGCACTTTACATTATTATTTGTCTTCACGTCAAAAAAAGAGAACCTGGTGCTAGCTTTTATAGTCATTACGAACACTCGCTGGGCAGGGGTGTAGAATAAATAATTTCGTGCTGCTAATCTCCTGATTTTTTTTTCTTTTCCAAGGGGAACCACGTGGAGGTCGACCTGATAGAGTATACTGCTAGCAATGGAACTGGTAGTCCACTTTGCTAACAATCCCTTTCCCACTGCAAGATAGAGTAGATGGTGACTACAATTACATTATTTTTAAAGATATAACGACGTCTATGTAATTCCAAAACATTATTTACTATTATATATTTATTAATTGGTTTATATTTTCATCATTTATCAATATGAAAATAATGGTCAAACATTAGTTAATAATAACTACATAATAAAATTATTTGATAAATCCAAAAACTATCTCACTCGCACCTATTCGCACGCATAGCCTATAGGTACGTATGCCTTGCGCTAACATCTCCAACTGCTATTTATTTGTCTGGCCCGGGGTTAGAACAATCAAAACTGACTACTGAGGGAATATCCTCTAATTGTTGCTCAAATAACATGCATAAAATTTAGCTTTTATTCCATAACGTAAATACACTTACAATTTGTTGAATTGTAAAGGTATGTAGCTATGGATGACTTTATTTCTAATGTTATTCTGAAGAAAATATAAGACATGTACGCTTTATTATTATTTGACGAATTTATGTTAAATATTTCATACCTTTAATATCTGCCAAAACCACAATGACCGGAACTTTATAGTTAACCAATCGTTCCTACCTGTGTTGCGACCATGCACTGAGAAACTTCAGCCTAAATGGTCGCGTACAACACGGTTTCAGAGATGTTTTCTCCCACGAACACTCAGGTTATAGAATGAGCTCCCTGCCGAGGTTTTCCCAAGAGACTACAGCATGGGGTTCTTCAAAAGGGGGGTAAAGAGGTTTCTTCAGGGTCGGCAACGCGCGAGTAATACCTCTGGTATTGCAGGCGTTCACAGGCTACGGTAACCGCTTACCATCAAATGGACCGTATGCTTGTTTGCCATTTCAGTGGTATAAAAAAAAAGCTTTTATGAAATAACGAAGATCTGGCATTCTCCGGCACTTAGAATAATAGTTTTAAAATCACATATAATTTTATTTCAATGTTTAATTGTAATAAATACAGTAACAATTCAACTTACACTATAGAATTACCAATAATTAATTAGTCATCCTTATTATTATTTAAAAACTTCTTGATAAAAATAACAAAACCACTGGACACGTCACACGGCGCCATCTAGTGCTAAACTAAGCAGAGCTTGTACTGTGGGCAGTTCACAACTAATAGAAATATTTATATACTCTTTTTGTAAGTACATACATATTAAGTAATTACATATTTTCACATAAATATGACGATTATTCTTAAGTACCTATTATATACATTTTTAACTAGTGTGAATCTATTATATTACCATGTCTATATTAAGTATTGCAATAAACTATATGTAACACTCTTAATGTAGCAAAATATATAGAAAACACCTAGACTAATATAAACAAACATTCATACTCACAAATACAAATGTATTATGCGGGAAGTGAACCCACAACCACTAGATGACAAAGCGTAGTGTTAAACTAGTAGCAACAGCCAGCACGGCCGGCAACATTACTCGTAAAATGAATATAACGGAAATAAACGAATGAATGTTACTGAATAATAATTGTAGGTTTTAATATAATATACATTCCAACGTTGATCCATTTCTTACTGTACTCTAGACCCATTTATATTATAAACGAAAAGCGTACAACGTCTTAGTCACCTCATTTTATATCGATATGAATAGCATTACTTCTAAATTTGCGCAAATTAAATAGATAGATAATTTATTTGCATTACGTACAGCACAACAACCACAACAGCCATAAATTCCACAGTGAAAAAAAAAATAAAAAAATACATATACAGAAAATAAAAAAATAAAAACTAAATGCAGAAAATAAGTATGAATTTTCCCCTTCATGTGTGTGCCACAGTAACACAAAATGGTCACAACTCAGCTTACTGCTTTGTCCTCAAAAGAGCAAATCACTGACTAACTAACTAACAGATATTAATAGGTAATGGAGTCCAGCCAGTATCCAAGTAGATTATGACTGCATTACTTCATCCTCACCCATCAACCCCTCTTTGATATCCTGCTGGCTTATCGATAACACAACACAATAGGGTTACCATTCCATTTTCATGACTTGAAAAAATCTATTTTATTCAATTGCAAATTATATATCTAATAATAGCTAAGATAATTGCATAATAATGGATTCAAACTGAATATCAAAAGTGGATATTTATGAAGTGATAATGACAATGTGAGCACTATTTGATAAAGTTATTGCAAATCAAAACGTTTTATGGACCACTTCTGTGAGATTAGATAACCAGATGACACTGTACATAGATACGAGTAGCTAGCGGAATACATTCATTTACTCAATGGGCTTAAAGATCTCAGGAAAATTACATTTTATAAGATTACTACCTAAATTACGAATACCTATTCTTTATTTGGTGGTCCAGTTATTTTCATGCTACTAGATATATGACCTCTTGTCACTCTGGTGTACATTATTAGGGATATTTTGC